TAAGAACACCTCCCTTAACCGTCTCCACCTCGTCTCACTCTTGTCGGTCGATTGTTACAATAATGCTATTGTTACACGAAGCGAAATGTATTGCGACAGTGCAAACAAGGGAAAATGCTCACTCACGTGTCCAAACACGCATACACATGTGTATGTAGCATATACGTACGTACGTAGACACGTGTACAAACATAATATTAATATTATGCACGCATAGAGTTGCACGCATGCAGCTTCTTTCGCTAGCAAACACGTATCGATGACAGATGCTAACTGCTAACATTGGTTACCTGGCTGGGTGGTCCGTTACGATGCACATCAGGCAAATCATAAATCCTGCTCGCCCGCACATCCCTCTCTGACTCCATGCTCGCCCGCACATCCCTCTCCGACTCCATGCTCGATTGTGACGAATATCTGTATAATATTTTGTATTTAATATAGTTATATCTACATCTATCTAAAGTAAATGAATAAATAGTATACTCATATTTATTTTTATATATATATACCATTTATTAATTTACTAATTATTAATTTTATTAACAAAAATAAGAGAAAAAGAGAGGAAGGGTGAGAGGAAGAAGAGAGATACATCTGAGCATACACACGCACGCTTGCACGCACGCAATACATGCACGCGCGCACGCACGCACGCATGGGCACACACAAAATGCACGAGTCACGATTTCGTGCGAGAACTACCTTCGTTTTTATCGATTTATATCATTTAGGTTTCTCGAGGGCGGGCGGCGGGAGCAGAGTCGTGCGGTCCGTCGACGCTCGCCAGGGGGCGCCGCCGCTGAGAGACGAGATCCTCGTCGACAGAACGCAGCGCGACGCTCGCCAGGGGGCGCCGGTGCGGCATGCCAGCGCGCCGCTCGGCAACGACATTCACCATCACGCTCGTGCGCAGTCGGCGTCGACGAAGGACAGTGGCTCCCCCTATGCACATTTAGCAGCGTCGCCAAGGGACGGCAGCGCCCCCTACGTTCAGCCGCTGCTTGGCAATGACACTCGTCGTCATCGTCATTACCATGCCCGTTCGCAGTCAGCGTCGACAAGGAATGGTGGCTCCCCCTACTCACATCGAGTGGCGTCGTCGAGGAACGGCGGCGCCCCCTACGGGCAGCCGGTCGTCACCGCGCAGCCTCGCGTCTCGCCGGAGAAGCTGACGTTTGGATACTGGGGCGGGGACGAGTCGGCGCGCGGCGGGGGAGGGGCGCGCGGCGGGGGAGGGGCCCGCGCGTCCGACGCCTCGACCGACGACGTGTTCGAAGAGGAAGACCGCTCTCCTCCGCGCCGCGTAGGTCCTGCGGGGAAGCCGCGCCTCCAGGGGGCGCCGCCGACCGACGACGACTCCGGCCGATCTGCTCGCCGCGTCGACCCGTACTTCAGGCCGTCCCCGCCAGGTGGCAGCACCTCCGCGCTCGCTCGCCGCGGGCCGGTGGATGAACGCGGTGGCGCCACCGTCGAGCCGATGTACGAGAATCTCTTCGACTTGCGGCGGCGGCGGCGCGGCGAGGGTCGGTCGCCGTCAACACCAGCAGGGGGGCGCCGGCGAGGGTCGGTCGCCATCGACGCCAGCAGGGGGCGCCGGCGAGGGTCGGTCGCCGTCGACGCCAGCAGGGGGCGCCAAAGAGGGTCGGTCGGCATCAACGCCAGCAGGGGGCGCCGGTGCTGCGCGAGAGCCAGGTGGCGCCACTCGCTACCGGAGCGCCTACTGCGTGAGGTCGCCGCTGAGGTCGCAGAGCGGAGGTCAGTACGCGGCGTCGCGGGCCGCCCCGCGCTCCGACGATCGCCGTGGCAACCAGGTGTCATCACCGTGTAGCCCGCCTCCCTCCATCTATGAATCTATCTCAGGGGTGTGGCACAATGACCAGGTCCCCTCACCACATAACCAGCGTCCATCCAGCTATGGCTCTAATGACCAGGTCTTGTCACCGAATGGCCAGCGTCCATCTAGCTATGGCTCTAATGACCAGGTCTTGTCACCAAATGGCCAGCGTCCATCTAGCTATGGCTCTAATGACCAGGTCTTGTCACCAAATGGCCAGCGTCCATCTAGCTATGGCTCTAATGACCAGGTCTTGTCACAGAATGGCCAGCGTCCATCTAGCTATGGCTCTGTCTCAGGGGTGCGGCCCCATGACCAGGTTCCCTCACCGAATAGACAGAATCCATCCAACTATGGATCTAGTTCTAGTGTGCACGTAAATGACCAGGTTCCCTCACCGAATAGACAGAATCCATCCAGCTATGGATCTAGTTCTAGTGTGCACGCGAATGACCAGGTTCCCTCACCGAATAGACAGAATCCATCCAGCTATGGATCTAGTTCTAGTGTGCACGCAAATGACCAGGTTCCCTCACCGAATAGACAGCGACGCTGTCTATTCGGTGAGGGAACCTGGTCATTTGCGTGCACACTAGAACTAGATCCATAGCTGGATGGATTCTGTCTATTCGGTGAGGGAACCTGGTCATGGGGCCGCACCCCTGAGACAGAGCCATTGCTAGATGGACGCTGGCCATTCGGTGAGGGAACCTGGTCATTTGCGTGCACACTAGAACTAGAGCCATAGCTAGGATGGAGCTGGCTACTGGGTGATAAGACCTGGTCACTAGCGTGTGTGCCTGAGACAGAGCCATAACTGGATGGACGCTGGCTACTGGGTGATAAGACCTGGTCACTAGCGTGTGTGCCTGAGACAGAGCCATAACTGGATGGATCCCTCCAGCTCTGGCTCAGAAGCACGCCTCAACAATCGGTCCTGGCACGACCACCGTCCATCCAGCCGCACCTCTCCATCTCTCACCCACGTTAACAACCACATCACCCCTCAGCGTCCGCTTCCCTCCGCCCGACGCCTCGACCGCTCGCGCAATCCGAACGTAGAACCACGCGGCGAGAAGCCGAGAGAAATCCGACGGCGCATCGTCGATGTCGCGTCGCCGCTCCGGAGTGGTCAGCAGGTGGCGCCACCGGCAGCAGCGGCGCCCGTGTGGGGTCGCACGTTTGTGTTGAACACGACCGCGTCCGCTCGCGACGATCCACCAGGTGGCGCTTCATCCGACGCTAGCGGTCACGCACAGCTAGAGGGCGCCACGGGATTGGCGCGTCGGCACGAACTCCGTGATGGGCTCTACATTCCGATTCCGGCTCCGTTCCAGCCTGTGACTGCTGGTTCGGGAGCGATCGAGCGAGCGACATTCCGGAATGATTCCGCACGAAACGGCCGTACTCCCGTGGATAGAACATTCCAGGTTGGAAGCGTAGCACCTCAGAAGCGATTGGAATCTCCGAAGAAACCGTCCATTCCTCCGAAACCAAAGCAGCTTCTACTATCGCCAAAGAAGATCGCTGCAGTGGCGTCAGCAGCCGCTCACGCAAAAGCGAGTTCGGCAAGCAACGATGATTCAAGGTCGCCTGGCGGTGAAGAAAACCATCCTGTGGAACGCGCTCGCATCGATGAACATACTCGCGTCGAAGAACAAACTCGCATACATGAACGTACTCGCGTGGAAGAACATGCACATGTGAAAGAACATGCTCGCATAGATGAACATACTCACGTGGAAGAACATGCTCGCATAGAAGAACATGCTCACGCAGAAGAACGTACTCGCGTGGAAGAACACATTCGCATGAAAGAACACACTCACGTGGAAGAACATACTCATATAAATGAACATACTCGTGTGGAAGAACATACTCGTGTGGAAGAAGGCCAACTTATGAGCTCTTCATACAAGCCAGACGCCGATATTACAGGCCCTTCGTATAATGAAGACGTCCACGTTACCGGTCCTTCACACATGAAGGAGGTCCACATGGCTAGCCACCGTTCATATAACGAAGAAAGCCAACTTGCCAGTCTTCCACACAAGGAACTTACCCATGCGACTAACCGTTCATATAACGAAGAAAGCCAACGTACCAGTCCTCCACACAAGGAACTTACCCATGCGACTAACCGTTCATATAACGAAGAAAGCCAACGTACCAGTCCTCCACACAAAGAAGATACCCATCTTGACACTCCTCCACGTAAGGAAGCCGTCCATGTCACCAGCCCTACCTACGCCGACGTCACCGCATCCTCCAGCAAGAGTCTCACTGCGAAAAAAGTTCTGAATTTCCTCGCAGCTGGCGACGGCCTCCACCTCTCCGCATCCCCCGGCGGCAACGTCGGCTTCCCGAAAAAATCGTTCAAAGAGGAAGCTTCGAGGCGTGTCTCGCCCGGCAAGCCTACTCCGCCTCCGAAGCCAACCGGACTGACGCGTGCACGCCTCGACCCCCCGTCTCCCGCGAAGGATGCTCGACGTTACCGTGGCAACGCGACCGTCCTTTGGAACGGCGGCGGCGCGGGGCGCTGCCCCGAGGGAGTCGGTCCGGGGTGCGGGCGGACGCCGGGCGGCGGTCGTCGTGGTCGCACGGACGATGGCGGGACGTGGGGCGAGGAGGCGGAGGAGGAGGAGGAGGAGGGAGGGGAGGAAGGTGTGGTGTGCTCACAGCCACGGAGGAGGGAGGCACGGTAGGTGGAATGTGTCGGTGACGGGACGGCGTCGCGGTGGTGGGCGCGATATAAGTGTGTGATAGTGATTGCGTCGCAGTTTGTATGGCGCCTTGTATTTGATGATGCTAGTTTAGGTAAACCTAAACCTAACTAAAGCGAGCCTACTGTATAGATGGTTTATTGAGAGAGAGAGAGAGAGAAGAGAGAGAGAGAGAGAGAGAGAGAGAGAG